ATGAACATCGGCCTTCACAAACCTGAGACCAGAAGAACCAGATGGTGCCTGGCCACCACTACCCACTTCTCTGACAGGAATCACATTAGAAGGTCCAAGGTAGATGGGGAGAAAAATGTAAAACTAAAGTCAAAAATAAAAAGAAAAGTCAAGCTTACTGATTGGACAGAGACTGGTGGAAGCCCTAAGACTATGGCCTTAGCCACATTTCAGGTCTGGAAATGAATTCACCCCCCTGGCTCAATTTTCAGTTAAACAACAGACAAGCCTACAAGAGGAACAATAACACTAAAAATAACATTCTAAAGTATAAGGAGGCACCAATACCTTAGAATAATCAACCATTGAGATCAAAAGGGCAACATTGACCCAAAGATCAAGTTCAGAAGGGAAACAGGAAACACAGGGAGGAAGTAGGATCAGTGATGTTCCATTGTGGGGATGACAGTCAATGACATGAAACAAAACGTGTATGAATTGTTGAACAGAACACTAATCTGCTCTGTAAATCTTAACCCAATTCACAACAAAAAAGTTAAAAAATAAAAAAGCAACTTCCAGAAGGACAAAGGAGCAACACAGAGATGTTTGGTGACTCCAGCCACTGCTTACTCTCCCCTGAACCCCTCTAGCCCAATTGGAAGGATTATAGGGAACCACTGGGTGGGGACAATGGTTAAGGCACTCTACCAATTGAAAGGTTGGAGTTCACCCAGAGGCATGTCAGAAAAAAGGCCTGGCAAAAAAAAAAAAAAAATCAGCCACTGAAAACCTTATGGAACACAGTTCTATTTGGATATGTATGACGTCACAGTTCTGATATGTATGACGTCAGCATGAGTCAGAATCAACTAGTAGGAAGGATTACGCAGCTATCCTCTCAACCCAAGGTGAGTTTTTCCCCTAGGAGGTATTTGGCAATGTCTGGAGATATTTTTGATTATTACAACTGAGGGTTGCTACTGTCATCTGGTGGATAGAGGTCAGAGATGCTACTAAACATCCTACAATGCAAAAGACAGTTCTCTCAACAATGATCATGTCCAAAATGTCAGTAGTGCTGAAGCTGAGAAACCCTGTACAGCCGAAGCCAGCCTCCTTTTGGCAGACATGGAGATGGAGGCTTAAGAATTTCAGGGGCTGAAACAATGAGTGTAAAACTGATGTTCTCATGTAAACTATCACTCAATTCACAATAAAAACTTTTAAAAAAAGAATTTCAGGGGCTGATCTAGCATCCCAGAGAATCCCGGCCCACACCAGGGCAGACCCAAAGCTATAGGAAGATGCTGTTCTAACTCTGGAAAGAGAAACTGAGGCAGTCACTACCACCTGGGGCAGCTGGGCAGAAATAAAATCCCAGAAACTCTCTACCTACATCCACTCAGGTCCCACCAGTTTTTGTTCTTCCTGGAATAAACGGATGTTGAGCTCCAAGAAAGGGGAAAGGAGGAGAGAGGTACTTACAGCCCCCATGAGCGCCATCCCAGAGCCCACATTGATGACAGTGGGGATGATACTGAACTTCCCTGCCTGCAAGGGAGAGAGGATGGCAGGATGCATAAGCCAGGTGGATAGCAGGGACCCCAGAGACCCCAGCTCAGGGTCTCTTCCAACCCCTTACCCCCTCCTCATCCCAACATGCCCAGCCACAGAGTAGGAGCACCAGCCTACATACCTTGCCATTCACCATCACATCAAAGCGGATTCCATAGGCTTTCATCAGGGTGCGGAACTCCACCCCGGCTGCGTCTCGGTAATATTTGGCAAACCTGGGGGAGATGGGACCCAGGAGAGATGGCATCCTGGCTGGGCCTTCCTGTCCAGACTTTCATTTCTGGGAGGGGACTGCAAGTACCTCACAGACCCTGACTCAGAGCAGTGCCAGGAGATATCACAGACCTCTCATGGAGCCTAGTCCCAAGATGCTTCCAAATCATTGAAATCCCTGCCAGACCCTCCCCGTGGGGTAAGCGCTTCCACACTACAACCTGGGCAACTCGATGGAATGGACCCCGCACACACACCCCTCCTGTCCCAGAAGGTTCTCAGCGCTGTCTACATCAACTTGAGCAAGATTCAAGCCTCCCCTCATGGGTCTCTCTGAGCACCTCCAGCTCTGGCTTCAAACTTCCCATCCTCAGGAGGGGAATCATAGCACCAACACCCAGAAAGAACACCACACACAGCCAGGGTCCCAAAGTGGCAGACCCACCCACCAATTACCTGAAGTTGTACCCTGAGGAGATAGATTTTTTTGCAAACTTGTCGTCCAGACGACTAAAAGAATAGTGAGGGTTGCATTCAGAGGGATCCTTGTCAAGATCACAGTCCCATTCAATCTGAATTCCTATCACACCACCCTTGATGAAAGAGAGAGAACGTTTCAGAGCACAGACACAGCAGATGGCCGTGCAGAGGAGTCGGGGCGAGGGGGAGGCCCGGCTGGACCATCCTTTAGGGCAGAGAGCGGTGAGCACAGGTTCCAGCCCCACTCTATGGAGTGGCTAAGAAAACTGCACCATGGATGGCCCAGCCTCACTCTCTTCCCTCTCCATGCTCCAGGGAGAAGAGAGCTGCCCCGAACCAGTCCCTAATGCAGGCCAGGAATCCCCAGAGCAGAGTCTACTGTGGACAGACACTGGACACATGAGCCAGCATGTGCTAACGGACTCTTTATAGTTCTGCTTCAGCTGAAGTCCCAAAGGCTAAGAACTAGACAGCAAAGGCCAAGTGTACCCACGTTCCAGAGTGGGGCCCTGGGTCACGATTGCTTGGACCATAAAGGAGGCAGGGACAAACCAGCTTTGCAATCCTCAGCTCAACCCACACTTCAAGGGCATCAGGGGCTAAGGTTGGAGGGGTTGAAGGGGGGTTTCTTTGGAGGCTGGTGTTGAGGTTCTCTTAGATAGGGAAGTCAAACACATATTGCTATAAAATCATAGAAACCTTAGTACAACAAAAACATCAAAATGTAAAGCCATCGTGTCTCTACAGACCCTATACCTAGGTCTGTACACTTCTGAAGCTATTGTTTCCACCTCTCGTAGCGTAGTGGTTACGAATCGGGCTGCAAACCTTAAGGTCAGCGGTTCGAAACTACCAGCCATGAGGCTTTCTACTCCCATAAGGATTTACACCCTTGGAAACCCTGTACAGGGTCGCTATGGGTCGGAACCGACTCAACGGCACTTAACAACAACAACAACAATCCTTCCCCCAGAGAATTCTGCGCTCTTCAATCTATACTATCTTGAAACGGCACTTTAGGCAGCCTCGAAACGCTCCAATTATGTTTCTTTTCAGTATTCTGTGAGTTTGGGGAACAAAAGAAGTTTGAAGGGGTCAGACTAGGGCTGGAGGTGAAGGGGTGGATAAGGGAAGGTTTCCTAACCAAATTCTTCCAGGACAGCCCTTGCTATCCTCCAAGAATGAATAGGTTCATGGTGGTGATGTATGATTTTCCTGGCCTTTTTCTCACCTATGTAGTTTTCATTTTCTTAAAGTTTCTGCCTAATAAGTCCTCATGACCATTGTCCTGTGTCCTTCAAGGAACTCTATCAAGATTGTCCTTTTGGAGTCCCCAAACATAGTCACCTGAACAGACTCTCTGTCTTGAACCAAACTGGTCCAGCAGATCCCCTCAGAAGCCAGTGTTTTCATTAGACCTTTTTTTAAAAAGCACCCTGAGTCTAACCACAAGGTTGGTGGTTCAAACTCACCAGGCACTCCTTGGAAACCCTATACAGGATCACTCTGAGTCAGAACCAATTCGACAGCACTTTAACAACACTAAGACCTGTGTATTACTGTGAGAACTCAGGTGCAACCGTCCCCTGGACACAGGGACGTATCTGAACACATTTTGTTTGGAATAAACCTGTACATGAATGAACCCACTTCTGACTTAGCTTGGTACATTTTACCCCCATGGAGACAGGGCAGGTGCTCTTATCCTTTCCCTGGGCTTCATGAGAAAGACGTAAAGGGGGGGTTCTCAGAGAGCTTTGGAAACCAATGAATTTGCAGACCAGACTGATGTCTAGTCCCTGGTTGAAAATCTAAAGAGGTGCAGTTTACAGCTAAATCCAAGGGGTCAGAGCAGAGAAAGCCTGGGGACAATCTGTGGGGCAAAGATCTGGCCTTTTGTATCTGGTTTCTGAAAACAGCCTGAACAATCAAGATGCAGCTTGTTTTCCTAAAATAGCCTCCACCTAGGGGTGTCCAGACCCCCCAGCTGATGAACTAACCTCAGGAAGGAAGAGGCTACCACACAGCCAGTCATGCATATTCACTGATTGGGTTGATTTTAACTATACCTTGATACGCTTGTCATGCATATTCATTGCAGTCCCAACGATTAGGGGACTTTGGGTCTTGGAGCTTTGTTGTAGGGGGACCTCCCGAATCAGTGAGGGTCCCACTGCACACACCACCCACCTCCTGGGCCATCTCCTGGAAGCTGCTCCCAGCCCAGCGGACCATGGAGCCCAGTCGGAAGATGGGGCAGTAAAGGTTGCTGACGTCAAAGCGACAGGTTTTCAGGAAAGTTCTGTTCTGGGAGTCCAGCACATTGGTCCTGGGTGTGGGCCGTGAACAACATGTGGAATAAAAGTGAGACTTGCTGTCCCGGACCCTCACTCCAGCCCAGGCTGACCCCTGACCTTAGGCTCAACTGCAGCTCTGACCCGTCCCCCCAGCTAACTGCAGTCTCCACTCAAAAGCAGGGCCACACTCCACATAGGGGCAGGGGAGCTTACAGCTCAGGCACAAGCACTGGGGGTACATGGCCCACCACACAGCCACCAGGATCAGCCAAGGCTCTCGAGGTCCTGAGTCACTAGCCAAGACCCCCCTCCCAGACCACAAGAGACAAGTCCCACATACTTGGAGAAGTTGAATTTGGGGAAACGGATGGAGTTCTTGATGTAAACAGTGAATTCTTCAGCCTCACCCAGGAGCAGCTTCCTGAAAACCAAGCAGGCTACCTGTCCAAGAGGCCCTGCCACCTGCCCTCACCTCCCTCAGAACTGCACCCTGTGTGTCCTGAAGTCTTTGCAAAGGACAGCTACTTTACTCAGGGTGAGAGGGTGCTCAGGCTTCTCTAGGGTGTCCTGGCTTCTCCCCAAGGTGCAGCTCCAGGGGTGGTCCTGTCCCCACCCACAGGACTGAGAAAGTCCTTGGGGACCCAGGCCACGCTGTGACCACTCACGCTGGCTTGGATTTTGCCTCCACTGGACACCAAGCAAAAATCTCACAGGTGCCCTTCTGTGAGCTTCCTACCCGCAGGCAGCGGCCAGTCTTCACTCCTGTAGGCACAGGACAGGACAATGCCTGTGGGGGCCCGGCTCCACGCCTCTCTTCCACCAGTGTACCCTCACCCCGAGCCCTCACCATTTCCAACCACAACAGCCTCCCCAGGGTGACAGTCGCTGTCATTGGAGCACTTGGCATCGGGAATGTCTTCACGCTGCCAGGGGAGAAAGGAGACCTCAGCGCCGGCCTGCACTCACACACGCTTCAGAGAACCGGACACGGCCCTGGCCCTGTGTCCAGCCCATGCAGGTGAACCCACACTGTGCACAACCCTCCTGAGCCCGGAGCAGGTATAAACTCCAGTATCAGGAGAGGTGGCTCGCCAGCTCCAGGCACCAAATCACCTCAGCACAGATGTCCTGCCGCTGGTTGGGGGTCACGATCAGGTTGGTCACCACGAAGAAGACATTCTCTCCCTAAAGAACCAGAAAGAGGGTGAGGGACTTCCTTCTGCCGAAGAGGTATCTAAGATACGGTAGGTATGGCAAGCGCCCTGGGCACCTCTTGAAGGGGGGCGCCATTGAGCTGTTTCTATTAACCAACACAGTCTCCATCGCTAGCTGAGAGATCAAGTTAAAAGGATCACTTTCTATTTGAGAGCCTCTGTGGGTCGAGGCAGACTGTGATCTTGCTCTGCTGAAGGTAGAAAGAAAAAATGGAAACAAAATGACGGAGCCCATCAGAGACCAATTTTCATCAGTGTAGAGGGGCAGCAGTAATTTTCAGGGAGCGCCACATGTGCTGAGTAACAGGTTAACGAATTTGACATGAATTTTTGAGCTGACATGATGGTAAAAGTTATCTAAAAGATGTGTTGACAGGTATATAATTTCAGTGCTTACCAGGGGCGCTGTTTTCCTTAGATTTGCCTCTGTCTCCTTCCTTCCTGGGTCCCTACTTTCTCAGGGTTACTTAGTAGGGCTGAGACATCTGAGAGGTGCTGGGGTGGGTGGGACCACAAAACTGGTGGACTCCCCCTCTGTCTGCTGACCCTGGAGTCCCTGAGCAGGTGTCCTTTGATAGGTTCCTCCTTGGCCCACAATCCCTGTTATGGGCATCCACCCCATGAATCCCCCCATTCAGCCTCAGGCCCTGGGGTCCAAGCTAAGACCTGGGAGGAGATGGAGCAGGCCAGGGAGTCATCCCCGGGACAGCAGCTAATGGAGGGAGGGGCTCCCTCTGAGAGGGCCCAGTTTGCCCACTGTGAAAACTGTCCTGAAAGCATTCTGGGTTCCATTTGGTTCCAACAGGCCCAGGGACTGCCTGTCAAACAGTCTCAGAAAGCACAGTCATTGGTAGAAATGGCAAACACTCTGTTACCTCATCGTGTGACCACGATTTAACAAAACAATAATAATAAGTATACAGTACCGTCAGGGAGGGCAGTGGTGTGACCTGTGGGGAAGGTTCTGGACAGGTCTCTACCTGCAACTCCCCCACCCACCCACCCATCCAAGATAGAGGGAGACAATGGGTGGAGGTCCCTGGGGGTGAGGCTCAGACCTGGGGAGGGATGACATAATCGGCCACGTCCCAGAGTCGTTCCCCGAGTTCCGAGGTGTTGGTGAAGGCCACGCCCTTGACTTTGGTGATGACAGAACTCTGAAGGGAAGTGTCTGTGTCTTGGTAACCCTTCTTCACCACAAACACCCACCTGCAGAAGGAGGCCAGCGGAAGGGCATCTGTTACACTGCTGCCCTCGGCGGAGGTGGGGTGGTGTTGAGGGGGTATCAAAGGAGAGGGGAGTCATAGGGTGCAGGGGTGGGCAGGCGCTAGGCTCCCACCACTGCCTGACAGCTAGTCCTGGTTAAGCAACCCCAGAGGTAGGAGAGGAGGGAGAAAGAGGGGTCGGGGCAGTGGGGACAGGGAGGCGGTAAATACAAAGCTATTATTGCCGCTTCAGGAGCTGTGGGTAAGCTGGTATTGGCCATGTAACCTTGGGTGAGCCAGGTAACTCTGATCCTTGATCTCCCATAGTACTATGTGGGGAGAACAGTGTCTCCCTCCAGAAGGTGTGGTGAGGGTTAGTAAGGCTGTGCAGAACCTCAACTCATCATGAGGAGACATCAGACAAACCCAAACTGAGGGGCATCCTAAATATTGTTGTAGGGCACCCTTGAGTCAAATTTCACTACTTTTATAGTGAACCCATAGGAAAAGAGGAAAACTGCTCCCTAGGATTTTCTAGGCTTAAACTGCAAGGTCAGCAGTTCAAATTCACCAACCGCTCCTTGGAAACCCTCTACAGGGTTGCTATGAGTCATAGCTGACTCGACGGACCCAACAGTATACAACAACAACAGCCACAATGTGTATAGAGGCAGATCACCAGCTGTTTTCCCACAGAGCCACTGGGTACATTCGAACCACCAACTTTTCTTTGGTTAGCAGCTAAGCACTTAACCTTTGAGCCACCAGGACTCCTTATAAGAGTACAAAATCCTGTATTATTCAAAAAATATCAGTGTCAAAGACAGACAGAAACTATTCCAGATCAGAGGAATCTTCTTAGTGTGGCATTGCGGGTTAAGCGCTGGATTGCAAAGTCATTTTGAACCGCAAGGTCGGAGGTTCAAACTCACCAGCTGCTCCTTGGAAACCCTATACAAGGTCGCTATGGGTCGGAACGGACTCAATGGCACCTAACAACGATAGAGGAATCTAAGAAGACAGGACAACTGAATTAAGGCAGGAGCGCAGATCTTCCTTTGCTATAAAAGCAATCAAGGAGCCCTGGTGTTGCTATAGAATAAGCACTGGACTGCTAATCAAAACATCAGCAGTTCAAACCCACCAGTGGCTCCATGGGAGAAAGATTAAGCTGTCGGCTCCTATAAAAATTTATAGTACTGGAAACCCTACACAGACTGTGAGTAGGAACCAACTCAAAGACAATGGGTTTGGATTTTTGGCTATAAAGATAACTAGTGATCTAATTTATACTAGGTCTGCCCATTAGATAATAATTATAATACTATCAATGCTAATTTATTGATTTTAATACTTGAACTTGGTTAAATAAGAGAATTTCTTGTTTTTCAGGAATACATTATTTAAGAGTAAAGGGGCAACATGTCTTCAACTTACCCTTAAACAATTCATTTTTGTATATAAAGAACACACAGAAACAACATGCCCATGCATATAATTTGCACATGGCACTGATAGGAAGCGCTCATAGGAAGATAGTATTCAAACAAGTTGCAAAATTGCAGTATGTACGCTTTTTACATAAAATGCATGTATATGGAGTCCTTGAGATGGTAAAAATAATTAGTGATCTCAGTTGCTAACTGAAAGATCGGAGGTTCAAGTTTACCTAGAGGTGCCTCACAGGAAAGACTGGGTAATCTACTTCTGACAAATCAGCCATTCAAAACCCTATGAAAGACTCATGGAAAGAGAAAGGCTGTGTGCTGATAGCCAGGAGGCAGGTTTGCAGAATGTGCCCTTTGGTTGTTTAAATGATTATATATTCCTGAGTGTTTTTGTGTACATTCCCCACCCCAGGAAGAAAAAAGAAAAAAAAAAAAAAACCCAGAGGGAATAGAAATAAATACTATTGAATGATGATGCATGAAGGAGATTGTAATCATTGCAACAAAATTATGGTGTAAAGCTGATGTTCTCCCATGTAAAACTATCACTCAATTCACAATAAAAACTTTATACAACAACAACAAAAAAAACCCTATGGAGCACAATTCTACTCTGACACACATGGGGTGGCCAGGAGTTGGAGTCACTTGACAGGAAGTGATATGTATATATAGAGATTCCCATTTTTTGTATTGTTTTTGCAACTTTTTTAATAAGTCTCAAATTATGTCAAAATTTTAAAGAAACTATTTTTTCCAGCTGAGTGGCACATGTAAATTGCTTAGCACAGTGCCTGTCACCTGTCAACAAGAAACAGCTCAGTGAGCATAACTCGCAGTTGTTACTGCTTTAATGGTTAGAGATGGTCCCAGTCACATCCCTTGGTTGAAGCTGGAAACACCGCAACTCAGAGAGGAAGCTGCCCACCTGAGGTCATGCAGCCAGCGGGGCGGGGTGCCCTGCACCTCGAGGGGTCCCACTGAGGCGTGTTTGCATAGTAGGTGCCAACCAGAAAGTGCCCACCCTCCTCATTCCTGGGGACAGTACTGGGGTCCTGTGCTATTACCTCTCCAAGGAACTCTGAGAGGTCTGTGACCCTTAAGCCAACTTGTCATTTTAGTAAGGACAAGCTAGGCCCAGCTCTGACAGAAACACTCAAGGATCAACTTCATTCATTCACTCATTCATTCCACACCTAATTCCTAAGCAATTAAGCCATGTTAGGCCCAGGTGTCACAGAGATTAAGCAAATGATCCCCTAAATAAATCTCTAATTACACCGTAGAAGTAAGTGGAGGATGAGGAGAGAAAAGTGTGGGAGAACAGGGCCTGGCTGAGGAACAGCACTTTTAGAGGTGCTTCAAGGGTGAGGCTCAGGGAATGCTGGGTGAGGGAGGATGAAACTAGCCTTCCTGGAGTGCTTGCTCCTGTCCACAGTCAGAGACTAGCAGAGCTCGACAGCAGCCTTTACTGAGCGAGCAAATGAAGGTACATCTCAATTTCTGGAGTCATTTCCTCCTTCCACCTGTTTCTTCCGGAGGTTGAGGGCTCACAATATAAGGAGCTGCCCACTGGCTGGAGGGATGGAATAGGAGGATGGGAGTGGCCTTTGGTGAGGATAAATGCTTTGGGACCGTACCCCCAGCTGAATATCACGGAGAACAGACCTGGGTGGGGTAAGGTGACCAGGAGCAAGCGTGAGGACATGCCAACCCTTTGAGTTGCCCCAGCCCCAAGTCCGGCACTGACTCGCAGCAATTATAAATAACCTGCTTAGTTCCTGGGCCGGCTGCCAGGCCAAGGCTCAGGGAGGCTCCAGGGGACAGCTGCGGCGGCCCAATCTGGCCACTCCGCCCCCACGCACTGCACTCCGGCTCCCTTTCCCGTGGTCCAGCTCTGGGGAAGGAGCAGCCCACCGAAAGCCTCATAAATCAAACTAGGAGCCTCATCACAAGGGGGAGTGAGTGGGCTAGGGGGAGTTGGGGTGAATTGGAGGGTTCCCTCCTTATCCCGTACGCTTACATCCAAGGGCTCAAGAAGGAACCTTCCCCAAATGGGGTCACACATTCCCAAGCAAACATGCAAATGCCAGGAGCCCGCGGCTGCCACCTGCCACCCACGTCCGTCCCCCTTCACTCCCCCACCTCTCCCAATGCCCGGAACACTCACACCACTAGGTACAGCAGGATGGAGAGCTGCAGCAGTCGATAGAGCAGGCCCACCTTCTTGTTCTTGGCGATGACATACTTTTCCGTCTTGTAGTCAAACAGCGGGAGGCAGAACCCCTTCCAGCCCCCCTGCCCCATGGTGCTGTCTCACCTGGGCCTGCGAGTCGCCAGGCTCCACGAGTGCCACATGGAGCACCCGCCCCCACGCTCCGAGCCCGCCGCCCCTTGCCCGCCCGCCTTCCTGTGCGCCCGAGCGCCCGGCGCGGCCGCTCCCGGTCGGCACTGCAGCAGCCCGGCGGCGTGCGCGGCTCGCGCGGGCATGGGCGTTGGGAGCGCGCGGGGGTGGGTCGATGGCCCTTAGGTTACTGGCGTAGATATGAAGTCTCCTCTGGGAGCTGGGTTAGGGCGAGAGCTGGAGGCTCGGACTGCGACCTTGCTGCCACCGCTTCCACCTCCTCCTTCTGCCTCCACACAGTGACACCACCCGACCTTCCGCTGGTGTGGCGAGGGAATTCCCAGAGATCTTGCCGCGCGCTGTCCCAAATGGACAAAGCGATCGCTGGGTTGATGGAGAGAGGAATGAAACGAAGAAGGACTCCTTTGAAAAGCAAAATCTCTCTTTCTTGCTTCTGCTCGGTTAAGACACCCCAAAGGTTTCTTCTTATTGACTAAAAGGGGAAACAGAGCTAGGGGCGGAAGTGGAAGTGAGGAGGGGACAGAACATTTACAGGTAAACACAAGTTCCCTGATTCACTTGGGGAAGAGGCTTGGCCTCCCAGTTTGGGACCAGGCTGGGAGAACCTTCCATGCACAGATACTAATGTCCACTATAATTATGTGGGTGTTCCGAATGCAGCAGCTGCTGTTTAAACCCCAAGCTGCCAAGGAGTCAGCTGCCAAGCAGCTCCCGAGGACCGACAGCAGGGAGAGTTGGTCCCACACCCAGGGTGGGCGGGGTGGGGGGCCCTAAAGTGACTGAGGCGAAGGATCAGCAAACAGGCAAGCAAGAGCATATGCTCACTGTTAGGAATGCACCCAGAGCACAGAGGACTGGATCCAGGCTGCTCTCCCAGCAGCCCTCCAACATGTGAAATTAAACAGACATTAAACAGTGGGGATGAAAGAAAGGGCATGCTGGGGACCAGTCTTGAGAGCTGATGATCACAAGAAAGGCAGGGCCCTGGAGGGACTGTGGGGGGGGGGCGAGGGGAGAGGGGGTGCTGAGGGAGCTGCTCCTCAGTCCTGATCTTCCCCTACCACCCACCAAACAGAAGCCCCCTTCCTTGAACCAGAGACATGGAGACCCCAAGTTCACCAGGTGTGATCTTCTCCAAAAGTAAAAACACCAGAGCAGAAGGTCTCAAGTTTTGGGATGCTTGGGAATCATTTGTAACAACGACAAAAATGCAAAATTCCTGTCCCCCCCATAGATTTTCATTAAGTCTAAGATAGGGCCTGGGAATCTGTATTTTGTTCTTACACTTACATTTAGGATACACAGATTTTTTATATCTTTTCATCAATTTCAGCTCAAATTGTCATCTCAAAATGGCCATTCTTTTTTTTTTCTTTCAATTTTTTATTGTGAATTGAGTGAAGGTTTACAAAGCAGATCATCAGTTTTACATTCAACAAATCATATACTTTGCTTGGTGGCAATCTCTTCCTTGTAAAAATGACCATTCTTTATATTGCCCATCAAAAGTAGCTGATTTTTCTCAAGAACATCCCCAGGCCTTTCTCCTAAAACATCTCTGGGTTAACTCAAACCTCCAGCCTTTTGATTGGCAGCCGAACGATTTAGCCATGTGTACTACCAAGGAGCTCTGGTAGTGTATTGGTTACGAATCGGGCTGCAAACCTCAAGGTCAGCAGTTCGAAACTACCAGCTGTTCCACGGGAGAAAGATGAGGCTTTCTGCTCCCATAAAGATTTACAGCCTCGGAAACCCTGTACAGGGTCGCTATGAGTCAGATCCAACTCCATGGCATATAACAACAACAACAATGCCTTTTAGAAGTCTCCCTAATTGAAAAGGAGCCTGGAGAAGGGCTCTGGGGGTTGTTGGAGCCCCTTGCCCAAGTAGCACACAGGATGGTGGTGAGGCAGCTGATCAGTCTGTGGCACAGACCAGCATGGGTCTGTCTCCTCCCCAGAAGGAATTCCAGGTTTCGTGGTCCAGGTCTATTTGTTCGGCTGAGGGATCCCTGAGACTCGGTCAGACAAGGTAACAGGCCCCCAACACAGCCACAATCAACCACAATCCAGGGTCCCCACATCTGTTCTTGATTTGTTAGACCTTCACTGAGCGTTCACAATGTGTTAATGGAGAAGCTCATCTGCCAGGCTCGAGAAGTGGCTCTACTGTTAATCGCCCTCCAACACCCAGCTCACTGTGGTACAGCTGCACTTTCTGACAGAACTCTGCTAACACTGTAGAGACCACTTAAGGATGCTCTCAGGGTTCAGATCAACCCCTCTTTGTAGGGTCCCTCATATCAAGATATCGGCTTACTAGGTTATAACTAGTATGTCCAAAAAGCAATAAAACAGATTGAGTGTATTTAAGAAAGGGTAAGTATTATTCTTTGTTTTTGTTTTTTAAAGCTTTTATTGTACATTGAGTGAGTGAAGACTTATAGGACATATCACCATTTTTACATTCATCATATCACTGTAATGATTACAATCCCCTCCACGCACCTTTAGCCAACAGTATTTACCTTTATTATCTTTAGCCAACAGCATTTACTTCTATTATCTTTTTTTTTTTTTTGGTATACACATACAACATTGTAAATATGTATTTTTTTAAATGTCCAAAGGGCACAACTTGCAAGCCAGCTTCCTGCCACATGCACTTGGCATTCTGCTTTTCTCAGTCCATGGGGCCTATAGTCCTCTGCTGTTCTGTCTCTATGCCATCGTCTCCACCACCATCTCTGATGTCGCCTCTTTTCTGGTCAAGATCCCTCGCTCCTCTCATGTTCTTCCCTCTTTATGGCCCTAGGGCCTCCTGATCCTGAGATGACAGATTAACTGCTCCCCCTTGTTGTACCTCTTCTACATGTACAATTGTGACAATCACCATTGGAGCTGAAAACAATTACTCGCAATCATAAAAGTCTTATCTCCTTCATTAACAGACCCATCTGGACAGGAGGGAAATTATTCAGTTGGGCTTCCGCCTTACTCCCTGCGTTCTGACACTAAGCACCCTCATGAAAGCTTGTAAACCAGCCACTTCGTGCCTTTATAGCCCCTCAATTTTGGTAACTGAAGTTAAGTTGCCCATCCCTATCAGCACAGTGTACTGAGGAGACAGGCTTTATCCTGGATACAGAGAATCCTTCCCTGTTTACGCTTGCTCCCTGTACATATTTCTTTACCTTCTTCTGGTCACATTCTAGTCAGCAGGCCATCCACAATAGGTCTGATGGGTACTGTCTGCATGTCCAGGAATTCTCATACCCCTCCCGCCTCTTCATATCCGGTGACTGCTTCATTAAATTTAGCCCTCAGTGGCAAGGTCATTGTCTTTGGGCTCAGGAGTTCACACATCACCCTGAACTTCAAACCCATCAATCCATTCTTTTCTCTCTCTCATTCCAAGGTGATCAGGTGTCCATGCTGCCATTTTTTTATTTTTTTTTTTTTTGCTGCAATTCCCGCCTTCTTCCACTCATAAACTGACCAGGACGTTTGCCATCCAGCATACAGGACCGTTTGTATTCCCTTTAAGTTTCAGTCTTAGAGGAGTTTACCCTGATGGGTTGGGTTTTCTTGCCTTCAAGGCTCCAGGGCAAGCAGCTTGATAAGGTCACAGTCTTAACAGTCGGCTGGGTTTTTGGTTTGGTTTTTTTTTCCCCTTTTCTCACTCAGCCCCCCTCCCCCCATTGGTCTTTCTTTCAAGGAGTATCTTTTGTTCCTCCAGCCATTCCCGGTTGTACTTCTTCTAAATTGGGAATGTCCTATGCCTGAAGGTTCTGGGTGGGGCTTAAGATTCCACCTAAGGCCCTATACTCTGCCAAAGTTTAACAAGAAGCCTGTTTCCCTGGGTACAATCTAGACTCCCCTTTTAGGCACTCCAAGCTCTGGTAGCATAGTGGTTATGAATCGGGTTACGAACTGCAAGGTCAGCAGTTCAAAACTACCAGCTGTTCTGTGGGAGAAAGATGAGGCCTTCTGCTCCTGTAAAGATTTACAGCCTCAGAAACCCTGTACAGGGTGGCTATGGTCGCCATGAGTCACGACTATGAGTGGGAACCGACTCCACGGCCCATAACTACCAATCCATTACAGGCTGAAGACAGACTTACAAACTTTCTGCAATCATCTTCCCCACTTAATCCTTTCTGTCCCAGTTAGATGTCTATATTACACCAGTAGTCAGGGGAACCCAATAGCCACTAAACAGTCAAATACCTTAACATTATTTCTTATCCTTTACCCCTTCAGCCTGTCTCCGTCCCTAGCTCATAGAGCCTTCTTATTCCAAGGCTGTGCATACGTCACAGCCTACCTCTATTCCATTTAGCCCACGTATACCTCCCGATTACCCCCACCTCTCTACCCTCCTCCCCCTCTTGAATCCTCCCCATCCTATTTATTGACCACCCTGGCCCTCAAGGTAACATATGTCAATCCTCTGACCTGTGAGTTACTGTCCCTTCCCTCCCACCCCTGGTAACCCTCAGAGAATTAGTCTTTCAGTATGAAAATTTTTTTACAATTAAAAAAAAAGTTTTTACAATAATGGACTTATGCAATGTATATCCTTTTGTGCCTGACTAATTTCACTCAGCATTATGTCCTCAAGGCTCATCCATGTTATCAGCTGTTTTCCAGCTTCATCATTATTCTTCAAGGTGCATAGTATTCCATTGTATGTACCAGACTTTGTTTATCCATCCTTCCATTGATGGGCAGTGCTGCAATGAACATTGGTGTGCATATATCTACTCACGTTCTGATTCATATTTCTTGTGAATCTATACCAAGAAGTGAAACTGCCAGATCATAAGGTATTCCTTTCTGAGGAAGCACCATACCATTTTCCAGTGATTGAACCAATTTGCAGTCTCACCAGCAATGTAGGAGCACTCCAGTCTTTCCACGCCCTCATCAGCATTTGTTGT